TTTTTTTTGAAAAGTTAATAATTTATATAATTATATAATTCTCATTTATATATTTTTTAATTTATTTTTTGTTTGCCTTTACTTACTTTTCCCTCTCTCTTGCTGTCTCTGTTTCCCCCCCCACTCCCTCCCCTCCCCCACAGACCAGCAACTTGTTCATTGCCGTCATCATGGACAACTTTGAATATCTGACCCGAGACTGGACTGTGTTGGGGACTCACCACCTCGACGAGTTCAAGAGGGTTTGGTCTGACTACGATCCAGAGGCTACGTACGACTTGTTCATCACTTTCACCTTTTATTTTATTTTCTTTCTTTCTTTCACACTGGAGTTGGTCCAGTCAAGGTCAATGTCAGGTGTTGGTTTGTTTGGCAGCGGTCGTATAAAACACATCGATGTGGTCACGATGCTGCGGAGGATTCAGCCTCCGCTCGGTTTCGGAAAGCTGTGTCCGCACCGTGTGGCCTGTAAGGTACGTAAACCGTTACTGACTCACTGACCTGAAGAACAGACACAGACTTGACTCCGTCTTCATCTTCATCTTCATCTTCTTCGTCTCCTCAGAGACTTGTTGCCATGAATGTCCCGCTGCACCCCGACGGCACCGTCACCTTCAACGCTACTCTCTTCGCTCTGGTTCGAACATCGTTGAAAATCAAGACTGAAGGTGTCGACACACGCACAAGAACAAAAAAAATTCATTCAATACTGCAGTATTTTGACGATACTGTCCTGCTGGGTGTATTCAGGATGTCGTCCTCTTCAACAATAACTGTCTCTGTTTCCTCTCAGGGCCCATCGACCAACAGAATGAGGAGTTGAAGCTGATTATTAAAAAGCTCTGGAAACGGACTAAGCCCAAGCTCATTGATGAAGTTATTCCTCCCCCTAGAGGTGAGCCACAGGAATGCTAATAAAAGGAGTTTTTATAAAACCCCCCAAAATAAACTGTTATTTTTAACCTAATAAAACAAGGCTAGCAGTGAAATAGCAAGAAATAGCATATAGAACCAAAACTTTTTATAGTTTTGGTTCTAACGCTCTCATTCCGTTCCCTCTCCTCAGGTGATGAAGTGACTTGTGGAAAGGTTTATGCCAGCTTCCTGATCCAGGACTATTTCAAAAAGTTCCGCAAAAGAAAGGAGCGAGAGAGGAAATCTAAAAAGAAGGACAAAGCCGCTTCTCTTCAGGTGAGTTGTTCAAATCCTATTAAAAAAAATGTTTGCCTTGTGGAAGTTTGTGGTTTTATCAGAAATGAATCAAATTATCAAATA